CATCGGCTGGGATAGCTATAAAAAAAGAAAGTAGATTTGCGGTAGGCAGCAAGGTTGTGGTATGGTTGACTCTTTTCTCTAACCTCTGCAGCACCATAAATGTCCTTCACCTCTCCTTAATGAATTATAAAAATACGGTGCACTTCAAATTACTCCTGCTCAGGGGCAGATTTTATGGGCTCGGTTCTACCCATGTGTGATCTTGAGTCAATCACATCAGATGGATCCAGTGATCGAATATTTTTTTTAAATTTAATTTCTCAAATAACTGGAATCTCAAAGGAGTACTGTGAATTAAATAAAATTATGAAGGTAGAAATATTAGGACTCCACTGACTCTAACATTAAGCTTTTGCGTGCGGAGGGAGAGAGAGAGAGAGAGAGAGAGAGAGAGATGTGAACTCAAATATTGAAGTTGTGTTCGCGGTTGCTAGAAGTTGAACTTACAACTTCGAAAGTATATTTTATTATGGACTCATCGCATCTCACTGACGAAAAATCTCAGTTCCACTTCGGTTTGTCCTCAAAAGAATGCAGGTGGCAAAAAGGTGCCTGTACCTTCAAAAGCTACGGCTCTTTCCACAATATCCCCAGACCACCACACAAGATTGCCCAGTTTTTTTAATTAAAGGGAGAGATATATAATATACCCACCTCGGAAGTCGAATCAATGCATTCAATCAAGCCGTGAGGAAATTGATTATATTTCTGTTCAAGGCTGCCACAGTCAAGTTTTTGTGCTCTTTTTGACGAAACCGGCAAGTATCGGTAGTGGACGGTTTTTTCATTTTATTTTATTTTTATTGTGGATGTCTGACTCAGTATATATCTTCATTAATTTTTTGAGGTTTTAAAACTAATAATTATATAAATTTTTAATAATTTTAATATTTACTTCAACTAATAATATTTAAAAAATATATTCAAAATTTAACTAATTGAAATATACGGTAAGTAGTGGATGATTTTTCTTGAATGATTTGAATACAATTTGGCACTAATGTCATGTCTAGGTTCAACAAGCTTGACTAAGCATCAAACCTTTCACCTTGGCCAACAAGGCCTCTCTCGCAGGGCAATGCTGCTTCCCATTGCAGCTCCGAGAAGAATTCCCTCGTGGGGCTGGAAGGTGGCTGGCAAACTTGCTCCACAGCTTGTTAGTGGGCAAGTAATTCACCTGCTCCATCACGTGACATATAGTTCTTCCTCGTTTTGAGAGTAAAATATTTCTGAATAGTTTCGAGGCTCAAGTGGATATGGCATCACCTAATCCACATGAATCCAAACCAAGATTCCAACGGAATGACACCAAAGATTGTAAACAATTCTACCCTCCATCATCTCACCTAAAAGTTTTCTAAGAAGTGCGGTTAACTGCCCTACTTAAGAAAAACATAAGTTTTTGCTCAACGTTAGGGGAGTTCAGGAAAAGAGAGAGCATTTTGAGAGTTTAGTAACTAAGAACAAAAGAGAGAACAAAAGGGTTGGTAGAGTTTTTCTTGAGGAATTTGTGTTTATCATGCTTAGAGGGTTGGTAGAGTTTTTCTTGAGGAATTTAGTACTCAAGAGGAGGGAAAATAAAAATAAATAAATAAACTCTTTTATGCTCTCAAAAAGATTGAACAGTGCAATCTAAGCACATTTAGGTTATAAATACAAGTATGGTTTGTGTTTATCATGCTTAGATTAATGATACAAATTTTATAGTACAATATTTTGATCCATATAATAGTTTTTATATATTGATATCAGAGCCATGTTCAACATTGAAGGTAAATATTGATGCCTGGTAAGATTTTTTATTAAGGAATGCACTACAAATCTCTCACATGGTTTATCTATCTGACATAGAAAATGAAAAACAGTAAGATTTTTACTATTAAAGATAGATTATGAGCTTCCAAATTAACTTAACAAAATAATTTTTAATTCATTGTCACTAGATCATATTGGCCCATTTTAGTCTAATGGATTCAAGTATATCTTTAACTTACACTATTTATTTTTCTTTTTTTGGGATATGTTACTAATATAGGTGCACGCATATGTATACTATAAATAAAATTTGTTTTATAAATGCACATGTTTTAATATTATTAAATTTTTATTTTTTAATTTTTTAATAATTAAAATTATTTGTATGAAAATTACAAATTTAGTTCAGAGTAAATTTGTTAATGTTTTAAAATATATGTTACCTAAGAGTATAGTCCTTAAATAATTATTTAATAATTACATATTAGAATCTTAGATAATGATTGTAAACATTGTGATCCCTTTGATTCTAAACCTAAGGTAGATCTTTTAATAATGTGTCATGTATCATACATTAATTAATTAATATGTATATATATGTCCACAAATTCAATAATCTTGAATTAGAAATGGTGATATTAAGTATGTTTTTAACTATTATATATACAATATTATTAATGATGAAAATGAATGTTTTATAGGAAATGAGATAGTGTTAATAACATATTATTCATATCACATATATAAAAAAAGTTGACTAATAATAATAACACAAATTAAAACTTTATATAGTCCAGATTTGACTAACAAGAATAATACAAATTAAAATATGATATGGTCTAGATTAAAATACTATTATCCAGCTCAACAAATTTAATGATATACTTAGCTCAATCAAATTAGCAGAGATTACGGCCTTATTTTAGGTCATTTAGGGGGCTTGATTTTTTGTGTGGATTTTATAAATAAAGATTCTTAGTTTGGCAAAAAGTAATTAATATTCTAATATCCTTTTATTGCTATAATTTCTAAAGTATCCTAGCTACACTAGGAAAAGGGTTTTGTGACAATATTTATGTGCTTAATTTTCGGAAGTTTCCATGTGTTAAAAACGAGCAATAAAAGCATTAGAAAAGAGGAATATTCTTTTTTATTGTCTTCTCATGTTTGGAAAAAAATTTATGGTATTCAAATAAACTAAGACCATATTTGTTTCTTGGAAACTGGTTTTTGAAAAATCACTTTCCAAACTTTCCTATATTTGTTTGTCATTAGAAAAATTAATCAACGAAAAACACTTTCTAGTCAAAGAAAAATTTGACTTGATTTCTAGAAAAGTGCTTTCCAGGAAAATTTTGGTGGAAAACACTTTTCGGAAGTTGTGAAAAATTTAAAGATATTATATTATTTTCTGATTATATCAAATTTGATTCTCAAACTTTCTATTGCTATAAATATTTTATCTTGAATATTTATTTTTTAATTTTATCTCTTAAAATTTAATTTTTATATTAACTTTGATTCTCATTTTTATAATTATTATTTTTTTTCTCTTATTATTTTTTTATTGAAATTTTTTATCTATCAAATTTGAAGGATATTGATTTTGGCTATGAGGTTTTTTTTTTTTTAGTAATGAAGGCATTTGTTTCATGCTTAACTAAGTTATTATTTGAGTTTTGTGTTATTTTTATTGTTTTTCATTAATTTTAGACTTGTTTAGTTTCAGTTTGAAGAAGGATATTGATTTTGGCTATGAGGTTTGTTTTTAGTTTCAGTTTGGGGCATTTGTTTCATGCT